AGAGAATATAATGTTAGCTGATACATTAACGTTTGAAATCTCATATTTAACCTTTTAAATGATTAATCAGTTGTTTAAATAGTGACAGATTATTGTTCTGTCGTTTTCAGATGTTCATGGCCTTCACACACATGGTGCTCCGGGCCAAGAAGCAGAGCCAGAACCGAGCCGAGAGGGAGCGAGAGCGCGAGAAGGACACGGTCAACATTAACTCCCAGAGAGACCGCGACCGCAGGAAGAGAGGGAAGAAGTGCTGCTGAGAGCAACAAAGCCACCTACCGCTCATTGCTTCCACAACAAAAAGCATTCAAAGATTGGGAAACCCCGTGCCTTAGGAGGAGAAAGTGTGTCAGAGCGCAGACGCGAATGTTTGAAACTGCGTTCACTATTTACTGCGCCACATTACGGCGCAGCAGGTCAGTCTGACTGGAGGCGGAGGGATCTACAGTCTGTCAGCACTGACTGCCTGTAGCAGCCTGGAGGTCACATGACTTCATGGATCATTCTGGTGTTTTTAGGACGTTTCTGGCGCGTTTACTAAAAGTCACATTTAAAGGTCCAGTGTGTAACAGTGAGGAGGAGCTATTTAATAATAGTCATAGCTATGTTTTCATTCGTGTATAATCAGCTGAACATGAGAATCATTGTTTTTTATTACCTTCAAATGAGCCGTTTTTATCTACGGAGCGGTTTGTTTCTACAGTGGCCCGGAGCAGACAAACCAAACACTGACTCTAGATCGGGTTAATCCCAGTTTTTGCACATTTGGCAGCCACCGTAGTTTCTCCTTTGTGCTTGGAAGTGGAGGATGAAGCGAGGGAGTTGCAATGTCACCACTAGATGCCACTAAATCCTACACACTGGTCCTTTAAAGCGTGCTGGCCGGGAGGATGGAGAAGTTAACATCTCTGGACTGACCGACCAGATTAAAATGAGATTTTCTGTCTGTATTCGTGCTACTGAGAGGAGCATTAACTTTTACTGAGTTCCTGACCTTTAAGCCCAACGATTGTCTCTAAGTTTCTAAGAATGGATGAATTATTAATGTTTGTGTTAGGACTGCAACTAACAGTTCTTTTCGTAATCTATTAATCTGCTGATTGTTTTCTCGATTAATCGCTTTCGTCTATGAAACATCAGGAAACAGTGAATACGTACGTCAGATGTCTTGTTTTGTCCGAGACACAAAATCAGTTGGATTGAAGACATTTAAATGTAGTTTCCAGGAAGTTGGAGCCCAGATTGACAAAGTGTGGAGTGGATGTTCATACAATCCTCATAAATATGGTCCAACCTTTCCACTTGAACACAAGAAGTCTTAAAACCTGTCTTCTGTAGCGCCATCCTGTTGAAATGTCTATTTCTTCCATCCAGATTTAACTTAGACGTAACATCTGGCTCGAGACAATCCATCACAGAACATCCTGCAATTTCCCCGCCTGTAAGGTTGATTAAATACATTCAATCTGCTGTGAGAGCGTGATGGTTTAAATGAGCTGAAACGTACAAAAACACCAGTCTGGTCCTTTAACTCTCCACTAGTGAACCACTGTTATGTGCCCATTTGTTTTTGTCTTCATAGAGTAAAGGTGTCGTACTGAAAGGGAAGCGGTTGCATTTGTGACTAAACTGTAACTTTAAAATCATTAACTGGTGTTTGGAGTGCAGTCCGACGTCTGTTCGCCTTATGAGGCCAGTAATCCCCGACTACAGTGTGTGTGACAGCCCAAAATATTCACGTCAATAGTATGTTGTTTTTTTTTTATGTAAATCTGTTGCCTAGCAAATGTGTCCAAATCCAAATAAAGCAATAAATCCAGTTATTGTTTGCTTCGGGGGGAATAATGATTGAACATGTATTTGAGTTTTCTTTTATCAACAGTTTGCTGTAAAACACGAGTTTAAAACCAGTTTAAATCATCCTGACTGCTCGTATTTCTCTGGAAACGGTTTCTGCAGCTTGAAGATGTTTATGAAGGCAATTTAGTAGAAAAATCAGTATTGGTTGTAGAGAATGCATAATCAATACAAATTTGACCTAAAAACACATTTAACAGCAAGACTGAAACATAATTAATCAAATTTAAGGCCTAAAATTCAGATTATTAAAGACAATATTTTAAGATTCCCTGTGAAAGTTGGTCTGTATTTCCAATGCTGCTTAATGTTTATTATAAAATATTCATCTGAACACTCCAGCTGTCAGATATATTTACTTCTGAAATGTTGAGAAGTAAAAAGTAGAGTAAAATAGAAATACAAGTGCAGTGTTTGTGTAGTTACGTTCCAGCACTGAGCAAACCAAATCTGAAGTCTGCCACCTGCTGGTTGAAGCTGGTACTGAACTGTGTGGAGGTGTAACAGGAATGTTTCTACTGTAACTCGTCTTCCGGAGCCAAAAGATTAAAACGATAAGAATAGAGAATCAACTCTGAACTTGATGTGGGAGTTGAAGTGAAGCGTGTTACTCAAGACTCGACTCTTATCAGCCGTTCGTTATCTGAGTTTTAAAGGATTCTTTAAAGGAACATCTCATCTTATGTGGAAAAACAGTTAAAATCAGTAAAATGTTACAAGTTCCTGGTTGATTCAGTTCAGACAAACACACACGAGACATTAAAGAGCTTTTTATAATTATAATACAAAGTGTTCAACGCCAATAACCTTCACACCGACTTCATTTCCACCTGCACCGATCCTTTAGAGGGGTGGAAACGCTTTTATTTTGAAAAACCATAGCGTTCAGAGGAATAGTCTTCATAAAACGATGCTGGAAGAAGTTTTGACACGCTGGTGAAAATTCTATTCCTTTTCTAAAAGCTGAGGAGAGCTGCCTTCTCCCACAGCACCTGAACGCAGCGTCCCACTCCAGCTGTGTGTCCTCCGTCAGTTGGATTTGGGGAGTCTGTAGACGCCTGCGGACACCGTCAGCTGATGCTCCCTGACCTTCCTCTGCAGGAACGCCTCCAGCTCATTGACGTCCATCTCCGTGACGACGGGTCCCGTGGCGACGAACATCCGGAGCATGGAGTGGATGCGGTCCAGCGCCATGCTGTCCAGGTTGGTGAGCATGGCCTGGATGTAGGCCCAGAACAGCTGCAGGGACAGAACCAGCGTTAGGATGCTTCTGCAGGTTGTTGTTGTTTACTGTGTGTGTGTGTCTGTCTGTGTGTCTGTGTTCTTGTGTGTGTGTGTCTGTCTTGTTCTTGTCTGTCTGTGTGTGTGTGTGTGTGTGTGTGTGTCTGTCTTCTGTGTGTGTGTGTGTGTGGTGTCTGTCATGTTTGTCCTGTCTGTGTGTGTCTCTGTGGTGTCTCTGTGTGTGTCTCTGTGTGCTGTCTCTGTGTGTGTCTCTTGTGGTGTGTGTGTGTGTGATGTGTGTGTGTGATCTGTCTGTCTGTCTGATCATTGTCTTCTGTGTGATCTCTGTGTGTGGTCTCTGTGTGTGTGATGGTGTGTGTAGTGTGTGTGTGGTGTGTGTGTGTGTTGTGTGTGTGTGTGTGTGTGTGTGTGTGTGTGGTCTCCACCTGCAGCTTCTCCTCCCTCTGCTCCGACTGGGTGGTGGTGTTGGAGTCTCTCTCCTCGTCGCTGTCGATCAGCATCACTCCTCTCTCCAGCTTCTCTTTGGACGAGCCCGTCTCCACCACGTAGTAGCGCCCGCCCGCCTCCTCCCTCAGCACGCCGTGCTGCGTGCCACAGAGCCAGCTTCCTGTGCACCAGCTCCTTCGGGGCGCCCAGCTTCACGCTCAGCTCCTCCAGAGTCCAGGAACCTGACAAAGAAAGACTCCTTCTGTTTAACGTCATTAACTTGTATATGTTGGATGATACTGGAGGGGTTTGGGGGGTTTGGGGGTTTTTTGGAGATGCTGAATCCATTTCTGACATTTTAAATGAAGTAAAACCTCGATGGTGTGAATGAATGTTTTCTTTCTTTGCTCTCTGCTACCACAGGGTCATACAGTATATGTTGGACAGTGACAGTCCTCTGTTTAAATAAATGCATGTAAATTAAATTATCTTCATTTCTGATCATTTTTTAATCTAACAAAAGGTTTAGAAACAGTTTAATGAGCGCTGCCAGAAGAACAATCCCACTGTATGCAGAAGACGACCAACAGAGTCAGTTTGAAACGAGAGCTCGTACTTTTCTCCTGGAAGTGGAGGATGATGGCGGCGTGGATGGGGGAGACGGTGAGGTTGGAGAGGGTGCGGTCCTCCAGCTCCACGTCCAGAGTGACCGAGCCCAGGTGAGGCTTCCAGCTCAGCGTCCTCATGGCCTGAAACACGGAGGACAAACTGCTGTTAACACATCTGTCCTCACACCAACATTCACTCAGAAAACAGCTGCACGTTGTCGGCAGGCGAACGCCACCTTGAGCTTCTCGTAGCGGTGTGTGTACGCCTCCATGGCCTGGCACACGAGCGGAGGGAGCTCCAGCTTCTCCTCCTTCAGCGGCGGCCAGAACTCGGAGGACAGGATGATGGAGGACAGGGACAGCGGCGGCTGCTCCTCCTCGCTCAGCCTCGACTCCTCCTCGCGGATGTTGCTGTTGATCCTCCGGGAGTCGGCCATGTCCTGGGAGAGGAAGAGGAGGAGAGGAAGAGGAGGAGAGGAAGAGGAGGAGAGGAAGGTGTGAGTGCGGCTGGCGGGTGATTATGGTGCTACATTCTCCAGTCACAGTGACACGGTTTACCTTTAACATGACCTCGCAGTAATGCATGTGAGACTCCCCAAAGCGGAGCTTCAGCAGCTCCACGTTACGGATTTCCCTTCAAACACAAAACAGAGGACGAAACTGGATGAAGAACATCAGACCAGGACATTTTGGACACGTCGCTACAATCACAAACACAACAGCGTAAACTGATTGGTGAATAAAGCTCTACCTGCCACTGTGTTATATCGGTGTCGTTTGCAACTCGTAAATTACCCACAGGTCATAGTTCACTCTTTTTACACCAAAATCAGTGCGTATTTATAGGTTTTTCTTTTTAAACGCAGGTAAACCTGATAAAAACAGCCGATTGACTCCTTCCCTCAGGGCTCGGTGTACCTGGCAGTGTTGTAGTTGAGCTGGTGCAGCAGCCGGTCGGCCAGCACCGCTCGGTACTCGTCGATGAAGATGTCCTTGCTGCCGTAGATGCTGACCAGCAGGCTGATGATGTCTGACGAACGACGTTTGGAGCCCATTTTATCTGAAAAACATTCAACCGTCAGGAGAGTCAGTGGACGACGGACACGAGCAGCAGAGATAATGAACGGTGCGTTCACTGACCGGGGACGGCGTCGGTCGGGTCTGGCGTCCAGTCCTCTGGGTCGTTGCCTTCTTCGTCGCTGTCCTGCATCTCCAGAGTGACCGGGTCTCCTCTGGACAGCTCGGAGGCCAGGTCCGTGCAGCCCTCGGCGTCTCCGGTGAGTCCGGCTACGATCTGCCTCACCGTGTCCTCCCGAGTCCTTAAACACACCACAGACTTTGTTTCTCTTGTGGGTCAAATTCATCACATTTTATTGTTTATTTCATCTTTTAAGGTGTTTCTGCTGTTAAATAGCAGCTGAACTCTGTATTGATAAAGCCAGGAACAGCTGATTGTTATAATGTGATGTCTCACCTGAGGTACTTGCGGATCGGTTGGCAGGCGACCTGCAGGATGACCATGGATGGGTCCAGCTCTCTGAGGGCCTTGATGGCCGAGATGTAAACGGTGAGGATGTCGGAGGTGTGAACTCCTGAGGACGAAGACGGGATCATTAAAACTCACCTTCCTGTTCTGCTGTGTGGATTTTCATTTTCCTGACTCCCTCTGTGAACCTGAACCTGAACAGTTACAGGTTCGGGTCCAGTTCTGGTTGTTAATGCGACCGACTGACCTGGGTGCAGCAGGCGGCTCTCAAAGGCAGATTTGAGTGAAGTGAGGAGCTGCTGTCGCTGGTTGGTTCGCTCCAGACAAAACTTCAGATCTTCAATAGCAGCTTTAGACTCTGGGAAATCTGAAAACAATCACAGGAATTAAAATAATTAAAAATATATATATAATATAAAATATAAAATGATATAATTCCAGTTTCTGGTTAAGAGAAACAGAAACGGATCGTTCTGAAAACCTCTGATGATGCTGAAGAGCTCCTCGATCCTCATGTTGACGTAGATCCGGCAGAAGAACTGGTGCATGTGGCACCTCCACTGCTTCAGGACGGAGCTGGCCGGCTGGTTGCCTTGCATGCTGGGAACGCCGGGAGTGCCGGGAACGGCTGGGGAGTGCTGGGAACGCCGGGAGCGGGTACCGGACTCTCTTCATCCGCCTCGCTCGCAAACACTTTACTCAGCCAGCCCAACACCAGCTCGAGCCACTGAGCACAGATTACAGCCAATGAATGACAGACAGACAGAGAGAGAGA